AGCATCCTAAATAAGATTAACGTAATGATCTCTTTAAGGCTGTTGTCTTTGTGATCACGTCACTTCGGGGCTTCATAATCATCTCCTGAATGATGAATGCACCCAGATCTGTCTCTTCTTCTGTCATTTCTAACCAGCGAATCTCTGTGTGTAAAAGACATTCCTGTTAGCAGGAGCAAAGAACGGGACCTCGCACTTCTCTGCTTCAGACTGTGAGTAATTCTCCTAAATGCATTTAATCAGCAAACTTCCTTTTCATGCCGCTTTTTGCTGAGCTAGAGCCATTACTGAAAGCAGAATTATTCCCAAGGCCAGTGACATTCCTCCATGGTGGCAGTTCCCTTTTGACTCCACACATCATCTGCCTCTCCCTGGCATTTTACCCACCTAAAATTCTCCTACTAATTCCTTTCACTTCAGCTTATCTAGCTGCCTTCCAGCCCTTACTGCAACAAATGCCCTACTGAAATCCAACTAGATTAGATTTACCAATTTCTTTTTTTACCCAGGTAAGGGAAAGGGGGTAAAGAAAAGGATCAAGTTAAGGGCACACAGTGCTTTTGTTGATAAACCCATTTTGTATTTGATTCCATTTTCCACTTACTGCTGTAGCTTTAATTCTGTTTTCCTTCTGTAATTTGTTCTTAACCTTATACTCTGTTGAGACTAGACTAATGGGTTTGCAGCTGCTCAGAGTACTTTGTTTTCTCTCTTCCTGAAATATAGCTCCTTTTCCCCAGCCCTGACATGCTTACTCTGAAGTTGATGGATATGCTGCAAATCTTTGCTCCCAAAACTGCTGCTTCCTCAGACGGCTTTGGGGGAAAAAAAATAATCCACAAATATCAAGGTAAGGTGGTGAGCTCCAGTCTTGCTTTTATAGAGTTTCTCGAGGTCTGCTTTTGCCTTAATACATGAAGTTACTGCTCTCCACCCTTTCTTCTATCCTATTCTCCCACCTTTTTCAGCATCATCTTTCTTATTGAGAAATGACAGGAGGCAGCTGTAAAGACTCAGAGGTGTTTTAGCAGCACTGTGGTGAGCACTGAAGGTGGTGTGTGAGGAGTGCATCAGCCAAGCACCCACCCCTCTGCCCTCCTGGTGAGCTGAAAGCCACAATTTAGGCTACCACAGAGACATGTTTCTCAAAAACAGGGGGGCTGAGAAGTGACTATTTAACTTCTGAAAGGGAACAGAAATCCCCTGAAACCCGTCACAGATTTTCCGACTGCAAAGAAACACGCAGACACCTAAACCAAGAATTTAAAGCAGTTATTAAAGTCTCTCTGCTTCTGAAGGGGTGCAGGTTTTGTGTAGGGAGGGAACTCTCACATGCTGCAATACAGTTTTAAATGACATTTCAGTGATTGCTACTGTTCAGAAAAACATGGGTGTCACAGCTTAAGGAGTCACCCCCAAACCAACCAGATCTTGCTGTTAGGAGATGCATATGTAGTATAAAATGGGACAAGTTGTGCTACAGAGGGTGGTGAGCCAGCTGGAGAAGAGACATTCGTGCAGAAAGGCTTTACAGATGCTAATGCTGCTGTCAGCACAGATGCATTTCCACGGGGCCAAACAAGCATACTGACCTTCTGGCTCCCTGCGTTGTGAAGACACTGAGCATTGGCTCATGGCAGATCAGCAGCACAAAAACTCTGACCCACACAAAAAGTCAGGTGGGAAGGGATTTCTAGAAGTCTCTAGTCCAATTATAGCAGGCTCAGTCCAAAGCTAGACCAGCTTGCTTAGGGCCTTGCTCACAAGCTTCTGAACATCTCCAAGGATGGAGATATCCCAGTCTTTTAAGGTACATCTTCCTCTACTGAACTGCTCTCAAGGGGAAGAAATTTTTTCTTACACATGTTTAGAATTTCTTTGCTTCAGCAAAGAAATTCTACATTTGACCCTTGTTTGTTGCTGGCTTCCTCTTCTCTACAGCTTTCCTTTAGGTAGGAGCAGACAGCAACTAGACACCGGCTCACTTGTCCCTGTTTAACAAACCCAGCTCCCCCAGGCTTCTCCTTGTGCACTGTGTGCTCTGCCCTCCCCGTGGGGGACTTTTGCTGGCCATGCTGCAGCTTGGGCGTAACCTTCCAGGTGGAGCCTCACACCTCTCAGGTGGGTGGGAATAATAATTTCCCTTGATCTGCTGACTACACCTTTGCTAATGCAGCCTAGGGGACCTTCATTGCTTGAAGGGCTCACTGCTGAATCGTGTTTAAACTGCTTCTTGATAACTTTTGTGGGGATCTAATAAAATACAGGGGTTACTGCCACAGAGAACTTATCACCTTACTGGAGCAGGCTTTGCCTGTGCCCTCTCAGGCACTTCTGATGTAACTGTGATTTTTGCCCTGTGCTGAAGGTCTTCAGCCACTCTTTCTGTCCTGACACATCCAATGAGTAATACTTTTTCCTCCTTCGAAATTATGGGATTTGTATTCATGGCACATTGGTCAGAAGTTTCAGTAACCAACTGCCCTTACTACACTACAGTGGCCAAATGAACTCAGCCTGGAGCCAAGGCTGATCCAATCACAGGTTTTTACATTCCTGCCCAACAGGGACCCACCTCCAAGTTCCCAGTCCTCCTAGTTTCTCCAGTTCCAGAGAAACTTACTTCTTTCACTGAAAAAGGATTGCATTGCATGTGCTTCAAATTCCAGAGTGCATCCCAGGTGTGTGGTTTCTGCTCCTTGCCCTTAACAGAGCAAGATGCCATTATGATGAAATGATTCAGGCAACCAAGCATGTGCAGGATAACACGCATCTATAACTCTCCATTACCGTGTATTTCTAAAAGCTTAAACAACACTAAGCAGAAAAGTTACCAAGCAGGGGAAAATGCAATCTATTTCCATGCAGCAGGAGGAAAAAAAAAAAAAAAAAACCACAACAGAAAAAAAAAACTACCAAGAATGACGTGCTGAAATGCTCTCTGCTGTGTGCTGCCAGGGGATTTAATCAGCCGATTGCCAAAGAGATGTCAGTTCCCTGAAAAGAGTGAGGACAACACGCCTTGCTGAGAAATGTACTCTCAAGATTAAAATACCAGCTGCAGAATAAACCAAATATTGTCCTACAAGCTGCTAAAAATTTGGGTGAGAATGAACAGCTGCCATCCTTAAAATGTGTGTCACTATATCATCACACCTTTCAAGTCTATCTGTCCATCTCTGCCTACTGGTCAGTATACACCCAACAAATTCAGATACCACTTGAGCCAGCTTAATGAGGCCTCATTAGGCCAGGTTTACCAGCCCTAGGAGCCAGCCAAGCAGGATCCTGTGACACAAAATACCACCTATGTTACCAGGACAGCCACCGTGAGCAGTGCAGTTTACACACAGACAGCAAACAAAAGGTGCTCACGCACAAGGGAGCACAGTGGCACCGCGGGAGGATGGTCTGTAACCACAGCTGAAGGGCCTGGGGTGTGTGCTCTGTGTTGGGGTGGTGAAAAAAGAGAGAACTGGAGAAATCAGGAGAGTAGATAAAGAAGGAAAGTGCTGAGGTGGGAACGTGACAGTCAGATGTGATTGTGGAGGAGGCAACAAGGATGGGAGATGGAGCAGGCAGCCAGCGTGGAGGTGTGTGTTTGCCACCCTCCCGGGCCAGAGCTGCACAGCAGAAGTTGTCACAAAGGTTGTGAGAGAGCAATTGTCGTGGTAACCGGCTGGCTTTCTCCACGGGTTTTCTTTTCAGTGCTTGTCAGGAGCTGGTGCCCTCAGCAGGAGGTGGGAACCCGGCTGTGTTATTCACATGATTCTGCTCCCAGGAGGGAGGCCCCACTAACCTCCACCTACCACCTGCTCCAGGGCTCCCTCACCTCCTGCAGTCACTCTGCATCGCTGCTGCCTTATTTCCCTGCTGCAGAGTTGGGAACATCTCTGTCACCCCCTCCCCAGCTCCCTGCCTGGGCAAACCCCATGGCTGGTGCAGCCTGGCCACCCCTCCTCACACAGCTCTGAGCGAGCTGGATAATGGGAGGCTGTACCAAAACTGGCCTTTCTAAAGAAATGAGCCGGTCTGGAGACTGGCCTGGGCATCTCCACTGCATACATCAAGGTACTTGCTGCGGGGCCAGCTCTCAGCCCAGCCTGTCTCTGAGCACAGCGTAAGGAGAGCACCTCCTCACCCCACACTGCTCCTGCCGCCCCCAGCTCCAGCCATTTTACACAGGTTTTTATTCACCACGCTCCTCAGCTGAGCCCAGCCTGCCAGAGTTATGAAATCCTAAAAGCCCTAAACACACACACACGTGGGACACGGGCACGTCTCACCAGGAGAAACCCGCAGTGGCAACCAGGATGCTCTTCCCTTGTGTGGAAAGGAGCAAGAGCTGCCAGCATAAGTAAAGGGAGGGAACATAGAGCTGGGAAGGAAGGTAAAGAGATCAGCTGTGCTCTCCAGAGACACACACCCGTGTTTCTCTGACTTTGCCTCCTCCGAAGGAAAGGAGGTAAGACAAATCAAGTGTCTGTGGCAGATGTTAGTCACGCTGCCTCACGTGCTGCTGAAGGGTGCTCGGCAGCACGGGGTGGGAGGGGGAGCAGAAAACTCCAGGCACCCTAAGAAAAATTAACCACTTTGTCCCAATCCTCAAGTGACAATTTCCCTTGCCAGGTATGGGGCATTCTGACAAGCACTCCCGGTTATCAAGTCCAGGCCAGCCCTCTTCGAGGAGACTCACTCCTGTTTCTCCTAGGTAGCATGCAGGGAGGAAGGAGGCTATAAAGGACATGGGCAAGGAAGAGAGAAGTAAAAGAGATGTCAGTGCCAGGATGGAGCTCCTCTTCCAAGGCATAAGATTGAATACATTTGCTGCGTTGCAGAACGAGGAGAGAAATGTCACCTTCAGAGGTGATCTGACAATCACAAAAATAAATTACATAGAGGAGAGGAAAAAAAAACACCACACAACAAGATGAGCTTTGTGAATATTCATGAGCAAGTCAAAACCCCCAAATTAACAAGGAAATTAATTTCCAAACTGATTAGGCTGCCAACTCCTTTTATTTAAATAAATCAACAATTGCCTCCATGTGACTCCAGCTGAAGAACGCAGGGCTAATCCCGACTGCTCCAGGAGGAAGTTTGGTGCCGCCTGCGATGACCAACAGCCCAGCACGCTCCGGGGACAGGCAGGTTTCCCTCTGCCCGCTGCTCCGGATGCTGCGGTTTCGCGATCGCCCGAGCCGATCTAACCGCTGCCTGCTGTGCTTGTGCTCTGCCTGGTCCCACCCTCTTACTCATGCTGGCTCGGAAAAGCTGTTCCAGCATGCCAAGCTGGCAGAAAACTCACGCAACAATTAAAAAAAAAAGAGGTTTCTGTCAAGTCAAAGCAGTGGAAACAGCTCAGCCAAACGCGCGGCGCGCAACACCACAGGTGAGGGAGGCAACCCAGGCTGACCTGGAGGTGGGCCCAGCGCCAAAGTTAACCCTGCTACGAGTAGCGGAACGAAGCCTATCTCATCCTGAGGCGTCTAAGCAGAGCAGAGCGGCAACGTGGTGCTTTGGTGCGGTGTCTCGCCTCACCTCGTGTTCACAACTCTGCAGCAGTGCGGCGTGGGGCTGACCAGCCAGCCGGCCTTAGCGGTGTGCCGGGGCGGCTCCGTGCCGGCTCCGTGCCGTGTCCCGCAGGAGCAGCCCGGCCGTGCCCGGGGCTCGGGGCACGGAGCGCGGGCCGCTCCTCCCGCCGTGCCCGGGGCTCGGGGCACGGAGCGCGGGCCGCTCCTCCCGCTGCGCGGCAGCACCAGCGCTCGGGAGGCAGCGGGAGAATGCCAGACGGAACTTGGGTGGGCTGAGTCTGTGAAATGGAGTTCTCAGCGACTGGGAAGGAGGGTGAGCTGCAGCCCCCTCTGGGGCCAGGCGGTTACAAGTACAAGGGCAGTCGGCGTGTGGCCGAGGTCACACGGAGCCCCGGCTGCGGGAACAGGGTTGCCCTGTTGCCCTCCACGCCCGGCCTTGCCCTCCTGTTCCCGACAGGGAATGAGATGGTCCGGTGTGCCCATTCTGGCACACGGCCAGCTGGCGGGAAGTCCTTTCTGTGGGCTTAGCAGGACAAACACGTTTAACAGCGTGCCAGGAAACGCTCGAGCCAGCGCGGGCTGGGACCATCCCAGGCGCTGGCAGCCCAACTTCGGGACAACTCTGGATCATCGCGGCGGGCCGGGACCGTCCCAGGCGCTGGCAAGCACAGCGCTCGGGAAAACTCCTCCGGACCAGCCCCATCCCGCGCCGACCCGGCGGCGGCCGAATTACTATTCACGGTGGCTCATGAATATTCATGAGGGCGACCGCCTCTCCCCCCTCCGCCCGCCCGCGTCACGTGACGCCGCGAGGCCGGAAGCGGCCCTGCCGGCCGGGCTCGGGGACGCCGCGCGCCCGCCCGCCCCCCGCCCGCCACAGGCACCACTTCTGTTTTGGAGAAATCCAGCAAAATTGGCCGCCCCGCCGGTGCCCCCGCCCCGGGGAGCCTGCCCCGGGCCGCAGCCGCCGCTCCGCCGCCCCGTTTTCAAGCGAAACCGCTGATGACGCCGTTCCGCTCCTCTCGGCGACCCGGAAGCGCCGAGGCGCGCCCCGCCCCCTGACCCGGAAGCTCCTCCCCGCTGTCTTTCCGGTGAGGAGGCCGCCGCCGCCGGAGCCGGGCCGGGGCCGCCGCTGGGGGGGAGCCCGGTAACGTGCGGGGCGGCGGGAGCGCAGGCGGGGAGCCGGGCAGCGGGACTTCCGGGGCCGGGGCGATCTGGAAGCGGAAATGGAGGAGGGCGGGCTGTCTGTCTGTCTGTCCGCCCGCCCGTCTGTCCCGGTGTCGCGGGCTCCGCCACGGGGGAGCCGCGCTCCGGGCCGGCCCCGCCCTCGGCCGCCGCGGGGGGAGGCGCGCCCGGGCCCTCCGGGAGCGCCTGCCCCGCGTGTGGCCGGGGCGCCCCGGGCCGCGGGCCCCCGGAGCGCCGCCCGCTGCCATGCGGGGCCCCGGGCGCCCCGGTAACCGAGGCGGTTTATTTGCAGAGCCGGCCCTGGAAGGAGGAGAAATGCAAGAGGAGGGAGAGTGAGAGGGGTAAGGAGCTCCCGGAGCTGCGTGAGTGACCCCCGCCCCTCCGCCCGGGGCTGCCGCGGGGCGGGAGAGATGGGATGGGCCGCGGGTCCCGGAGCCGGGGGCGAGAGGGCGTCTGAGCTCCAGGGTGCGGGAGCAGGGATTGACCGCCTGGAAGGGGCTGAGGCGCAGGGTATGCCCTGTGCCAGGCACCTGTTCCAGCAGAGGCTCGCCCGGTCGGGGTGGAGGCTGCGCAAGTGCCGGGGAACGGCACCGAAGTTCTGTCTCTAGTGTGCGGGTTTGGGATCCAGGACTTTGTCCGGTACATTTGGGATATTCCTGATGGGTGTTCAAATGCGCTTGTTCTAAAGGTGTAACAGCGTTTGAACTTTCTGGTGCTTATGGTTACTGGGAAAGCATTTTTGCTTTTGTGGTAACAGCCTGTGTGGCTTTCAGCATCCTTAGTATTTTGCAGCAATTAAACCTAAAAGCTCCTTGTCATTGAACAAAGATCTTGGGCAGACGTAAAAACAACAGTGCAAATTGTTCCCAAGCATTACTCTCAGGGCCTTTTGTTGACTGAAAACTCCATGCCAATGGGAAATAAAAGCCAGGCATCTGGAGAATAAAGAAACCCATGTTAAAAGTCAACCTTTGAATAAATATCTGCCTACCCAGCCTCGATTGTGCCTTCCAGAAACACAGCCTCGATCTCACCGTATACTTGCACGTGCTTTTATTTATCTGTTTATGATTAAAGTGATGACCTGCCAAGAAGTATAAATGCAGCACATTTATTATGTGATTCTGTGAGATCTGAACTCCAGATCCCTTGTCCCTTGTGAGTTCTCTGGTTCACTCGGTTGTTTATTTGGTGTATGTACATTTGTGGTCTGTACACAGAAAGTGTTTTTGGTTTATATCAGGAGGGTACGTTGGCATCTGTGTGATACTAGACTGGTGAATAGGAAGAAGGTCCCATCTCTGGCCTGTTTGTGGAAGCTGGGATGATGAAGGCCCTGCAGTGGGAGCGTGCTGTGGTGCAGGGTTGAAGCTCCAGCCCATGTCTGGTAGTTATAGAGCAATTGGAAGGGTTACGAGCAGAGTTCTGGTAAAGTAAGTGTGAGCAGCGTCTGAGTGCGGGCTGCCAAGAGGGGTGCATGTTTTCAAAATACCCTTTTAGCCTAAAAATGGGGTAGGGGAGGGACAGCTCTGGGTACTAGGCCAGTAGGTTGGTGGAGGAATCTTACCTTTGTTTTCTGCCTTTGGAAGACTGGCTTGCTAGTGAAATTGCATGAAAGCTTCAACTTTTACACCATTTCTCCTTTTCCTCCACATTCTTATAACTCCATCACACTTCAGCCTTTCAAGCCAGAAGTTTGAGGCCTGGTAGATAATATGCTCAAGCATTGAGATTTTTGGACAGGGAGGTGGCTTCTAAGGGAGTCTAATGAAATCAGTGTAGCCGTACTTTGAAGAATCAGTAAGAGCCGTGTTTGACCTGCACACTTTGTAAGCTGAGCAAACAAAAGTTAGATTCTCTGTGAAGTTCTGGTGGAAGACAAGATGGAGACAGGCAGACACTGAGTGCCCTGGCCTCTGCTAGCCTGGATTTTGGAATCTGGAAATGGGCTTTTCTTTCATTACTTTTTCTCTTTAAATAAGAAAGCTGTTGTGAGGTTTTTTTGCTTAAATTGGCATCTTTCTGTTTAACTCCTGAAGTTTGCAGTTGCATCCAAGGGAGTCTTGGACAACTACAAAATTTCTCTGGAAAATGCATTTGATTATTATTATTATTATATGAGACTTTGTGGTTTTGGACAGTCAGGTTCACTTTGGTGTTTTTGATGTGGAAGCTAAGCAAATAACAGCTTATTTATTTTAAAAACAAAACAAACACCAAGCAAAAAACCTCAAACTTGGAAATTCCAAGCAAAATACCGCTCTTGATTCAGGTGGTGCTCAGTTGCCAAAGATGTGTTATCTCCTCATGTGTGCCCATCCTGCGGAAGAAAAAAGTCATGTAATTAAGTGTTACATGCATAGGGCTGTGCTGTGGGCAGTGTACTTAATAATTAATTTGGCTCAGCAAAGAAAGCAGAGGAAGGAAGGTAAGAGTCTTGCCCCATCAGCCTCTGATTGAATCACAGCGGTGTAAATCCAGAGTAATTCAGTCAGGCAGCGAGCAGTCTGACTGCATGCCACCAACGTAAGGTAAATAATTTATCCTTAAGTGTGTTTATTGGTTGATTTGCAGTGAGTGAGTGAGGCAGGAGTACTTGGCCTTGCTGTTGCATGAGCAATTCATAAAAACAAAATTATCGGGTGATTTGGTTCATTTAAATACTGCTTCTCCACATAGAGGAAAATTATCTTTGCATTTTGGCTCACACACAGCAATTCCACATGTATTTATTCTGTCTTCATATACTTCTGTAATATGTTTCATGCTGCTGGGGGCATCCCTCTGAGCTCCCCTGATGATTGAGATAGACTCTTCAGAAGCAACATTGTTCAATTATTAGACCACTGACAGACCATAACAGAAATACGAGTAGGACAGTTTGCAGGTAGCTGCATGAAAAACCTACAGTGGTTGTGCTCTCTGCCAAATGTATTCTGAGCATAATTTTTACCTACCAGTTTTGCCATATTTGTTTAGGAATAGATGTATCTTCTGTTTCAGAAAATACTGTTTTGTTAATTTCTTTAGGTTTTGAGTAGTGGTTTTGCAAGTGTCACAAACTTTGTTCACTAATGGTATCACACAGAGGAATGTAAGGATTAGAAAGGAAAGTGCTTCTTCAGTCAGGTGCTCCCAAAGAGATTATACCTCTGTGCTCAGGAGACTCTCTTTTGGTGTTTAACCCATCTTCTGAATGCAGGGAGAGTTGAGATGGAGCAGTGGGCACTTGCCTGGGGACAGAGTCCTATAGAATCTTGTCCCAAAGATGGGAAGAAAATGAGCAGTGGGAGCCACGTGGAAATAGGGTATCTCAGGAGCAGGGGAATCAGGTTATTTTCCTACTGCTTAGTCACATTGGAGGAGAGCAGGAATAATGAATGATATTTCTGTTTCTTTCAAGAGTGGGGCTGGGGTGGGCAGCAGGAAGTTAGGAGCCCTGAGTTTGACTTCTTGGTCTGCTGTGGCTGTCTGTTATCTTGGGCAAGTCTGTTTCCCTCTCTCTGCCTGTCTTTCTTCCTGTGTAACATAATGCTAATGTCCCTTTGCTGCATCTGGGTCCTTAGGGTTGAGCCGGGGTGGAGGGACAGGCAAGGTCCAAAATTTTCACTGCTTGTGGGGTCAGACTGTCTGTGATGGTGAAAAACAGTTTTCATCTGTATTTGCCTGCTTGCAGATGCACAGACTTCATTTATGCCATGTACTTGGGTGGATGATAATTGGGAAAATTTGGATGTGTTCTGGGTTTCTAGTCAGTCCTGTTTTTTGCATGGAGGACTACTGGGCAAGGGGCATTTCAGATGGACACAAGCCCGTGGGAATAACAGGCATCTTTTCCCCCTGAAAATAATTTTTTAATTTGGGCAGATAGCTCAAAAGTGGGGAGAAATTGCTCAAGAAAGATAGGGGAGATTAAGGAACTGTCACAGCATTAGACTGAGTCAGTTCCATTTAGGAATCTCTTTGAGTTTAATGGGTTTTTCTTGTGTGTTTGTGTGTCCGTCTTCCTTATCCTCCACTCCTCTTCCCTTCCCCCTTCTTCTTGCCCCCTGTGCCCAGCTAGGATGGAAGAATCTCATTTCAACTCCTCCCCGTACTTCTGGCCAGCAGTGCCCACCGTCTCGGGACAGGTAAGATCTTCCAGCCTGTTGTGTTGGTCTTGCTTCCTGTCAGAAGTTTACGATGAAGTGTTTCTGTTGCGTTTCTTGCTCAGCGAAATGCTGGGCAAAGGTGTGCCAGGGTTTGCTAAAACCTGTCCTTCCCCCGTTTAGATTGAGAACACCATGTTCATTAACAAGATGAAGGAGCAGCTACTGCCCACAGAGAAGGGCTGCAGCCTGGCTCCCCCCCACTACCCTGCCTTGCTGACAGTCCCCACCTCTGTGGCCCTGCCCACTGGTATCTCCATGGACTCGGACACCAAGCCGGAGCAGCTGACACCGCACAGCCAGGCCCCCGTGACTCAGAACATCACCGTGGTACCAGTGCAGTCTGCTGGGCTCATGACAGCAGGTAGGGCACTCCAAAGGCTTCAGCAGCCTGCAAAGGGGACTGTGGGATGGGGAAACACGATGTCCTGGAGAATCCTTGTTGGCCTGTCGATTATTCCTAGCCTTACTGATGGCGTGCCTGCCTTGGTGTGGTTTCGCTGTGAATCTCTAGTCACTCCATACATCCACCCTTTTTACGGA